CAAAACCGCTGACGTTAAAAGGGTGGCAATAGCACCTTTTCGTAGATTCCTTTGCCGGTAAATGCAGATAATGTCACAATACTTTAACACGTTGGTTATAAAAACATAGAGCTTCTGCATGTGAAAAAGGTAGTTATTGCAGGGGCCGGGCCGGATCGCGCATGGTGGCTCTTTGAGGTATTCGCGCAGAGAGGAAGGATCTCAGAGTGAATGTCGACGCCATGACGAGTGCAGCTGTGTTGGGAGCTGCTGTAGGCATTGGTGCTGCTTCTGGCCTTTTCATTGGCTCTATAGGTTGGTTTGACCGCCTTCAAAGGGTGCTCCTCAGCCTGTGCCTCAGCAAACCCACTCTGGTTTCGCTCGCTCTCAGGTGTTGGCGGTATTATCTTGCTGCCAGCTCTCATTCAGCTGCCAGAAGTTCAGGTGAGAAGCACGAACACATTCGCTCGTGTAATATCCGTTGAGCCCACACTCTTGCTATCTCACTGCCGTCCCTCCACCACTTGCTACCCACTTCTAGCTTCAAGAAGCCATTGCATCGTGTTTGTTTGCCTACATTTTCGCCGGCATCACCGGTGGTTTTGTCTATCAATGGCAAGTGGGCGTCAACTGGCACACGGCCAGCTGGCTCATCCTTGGGGCCTTGCCGGTATGTCGAAGCCAAGCATCAGCCTTGCTCTCTCCTCCTTTCTGCCTCCCTTCTCAGCTACTCAAAGCTCCACTGCATGCTTGCCCGCGCTTTATCATGGGATTGCAGGGTGCCTTTGCGGGAGCTTTCACGTTGACCTACGTGCCAGATCTAGCCATCAAGGCAGTGCTCTTTGGCTGCATTCTGCTAACCACTGTCTTTTCACTCTATCGTGATTGCCATCAACGGCGAAACACCCCTTCCGAAGCGATCTCAAGTGAAATGTTGCCATCCAACAACAACTCGGCCGCTCCAGACCAGGCACAAGATTTTGTAGCATCACATGAGGTGCTGGAGCTTTCCTCAGTAACAGAAACAGTGTCACCATCTCACGGCATCTTGGCTAGTCCTGGTCAAGAGCCGGACTCAACTGCTTTGGCTCGGACCAAGTGAGCCGCGCTCACCAATCCCATTGTCGCACGGATGTGTATATGTCTCAACGGGATCATCACAATGTTTTGCATGTGTACAGGTCTCGTTGGTTGCTCGTTGTCATTGGACTGGGTGTTGGGTTTGGGTCTGCTTGGACGGGAAGCTCAGGGCCAGTGCTCTTGTTACCCATCCTGGTCATGCTGCAGCTCGATATCGTAGAAGCCTTAGGGTGCGTAGCTCAACTTTGTAAGCATGCTGCTTTGAAAGACGTCCGGCGTTGCTTCTGACCTTGCGTCTCTTATGCCCCAAGGTGCGCTCAAGTGATTCAGCTACCCATTGCCACAGCGGCCACCATTAGTTATGTCACCCTGAGGCCCGGTGTCATCCAATTCGACGTGGGCGCTTGTCTTACGGCTGGCCTTGTCCCGGCAATTATTTTGGGCTACGCACTGAGCTCTTACTTGCACAAGGATACGTTAAAACGAGCTGTACTCGTGTGCTTGCTGGGTGCAGCTCTCGCACTTATCGTACAGCTGGCCGTAGAGCTAGCTCGCTGAAATCCGTTGCAAAACGGATCTTCAGAACTCAGCTTGGCGCCTGGTCTTGAGTCCTGTGAGTACATAAATGAATTCTGAGAAAAAGTGGAGTGGATGCTGTTCACGCGCGCGCGCGCGCGTGTGTGTGTGTGTGTGTGTGTGTGTGTGTGTGTGTGTGCGTGCCAAGTATGGGTACGAGTAGCTCAAACATCCTGCGCAGAGCACACGAGTGTTCTGCGTGAATGGAGACAAGTGTGCAACTAAGTTTAATTGATGCGTAGCCAGCATTGTCAAAGAAGCTGAACCGGCCATCACTACAATCGACGCTGGACAATACGAAACAATGATAGAGGCCATGCCGAGCTTTTATTTGCTACGATACTTTGCAGGCATAGGCAGACTTTTACCGGACATGCTCATGCCACGGCCTGAATCACCAATTGATGACGTTGTGCTCGCTGTGGCAGCTTGCTCATCGGCCACATGCGCGGCCTTGACCGCCTCCACCTTGGCCTGTGCCACGTTCTCAGCCTCGGCCTCGGCCGCACGCTCATCCGCCACGTGAGCAGCAGCAGCAGCTTGTGTCATGGCGGCAGCCTCGGCAGCTTGATCATCGGAAACATGATAGCAGCCTTGACCGAGCTCCACCTTTGCTGTGCCACATTCTGCAGGCATCGGCCTCTTCCGCACGCTCATCGCCACGTGAGCAGCAGCAGCAATTGTGTCATGGCTGCGCTGTGGCAGCTTGCTCATCGGCCACATGCGCGGCCTTGACCGCCTCCACCTTGGCCTGTGCCACGTTCTCAGCCTCGGCCTCGGCCGCACGCTCATCCGCCACGTGAGCAGCAGCAGCAGCTTGTGTCATGGCGGCAGCCTCGGCAGCTTGATCATCGGCCACATGCGCGGCCTTGACCGCCTCCACCTTGGCCTGTGCCACATTCTCAGCCTCGGCCTCGGCCGCACGCTCATCCGCCACGTGAGCAGCAGCAGCAGCTTGTGTCATGGCGGCAGCCTCGGCAGCTTGATCATCGGCCACATGCGCGGCCTTGACCGCCTCCACCTTGGCCTGTGCCACGTTCTCAGCCTCGGCCTCGGCCGCACGTTCGTCCGCCACGTGAGCAGCAGCAGCGGCCGTATTACTGGCAAATGTTTCAGGAACAAATCCCTTCTATTTGTGATTTATTTATTTATTTATTTTGCATGGCACCGGCCAATACAAGGAGCATGAGAAAGCATTCTGCTCATACATCCAATCCAGTCATGATGAAATCCGCAGTGCACTCTGACTTACCGAGCTCGCCAGGCTTTTGAGATGAACCAGGGCATTGATGACGCCAGGCATGTTCTGCTGCTCAAACAGATCAACCGTCTGGAAGCTGTACTCATCCCGCAGTCCATAGTTGGCCATGGCTGACAAGGCAAAACCGATGTTTTCCATTTGTTGAAATGTCATTTTGGAGCGGTTCATGTGGGAGACGGCGCCTGGCATCAACGCATTCATAACCTAGCCAAGCTCGCAAAGCGTCAGAGACAGGTGCTAATTCACTTCGATGCCAGGAGCGAGCAAAGAAAGATACCCGGGTACTTTCGCGCAGTTGACGGTCCAAACCAGGCGCATACCTCACAAAGAACAACTCCATCATGCAAAGTCTCGGCTAGGGGCTCGGTGCCGAGAGCGCGCTGCAAGCAATCCTCAATCCATGTCCTCACCTCCCGCTCGTCAGACTCAACTCGGGCCGTCTGAGTGCGCCACAAAGAAAAAAGCAAAAAAAAACAAGAAAAAAAACAAAACAAATGAAATAAAATCAAAACGCATCGAAACATTGAGGCGATGCACCCTTTCACAAAAACACAGACTGAGATATAGCAGCGAAATGCCGCAGGCGGGGCCTGACGTACCGCAGCTGCTTTGCGTTGTTCCTGCTCACGCGCATTGGCAGCTTCATCGGCGTCCAATGAATAAGTGTCACCCTTGGAGAGCGATGTCATGGCTTGGTGCAAGGTGGGGTCAGCAATTTGCCCCGCTGGTACGTTGTTGGGGTCAAGTTGGCGGGAAGGCGCGCCCAACATGATGTCAATCACGTCATCATCGTCATCGTCATCATCTGCACCCGCATCCCCATGCCCCTCCTGGCCCTGGACCTCATTGGCCTCTGGGGCGGGAGCATCGCTCGCATTGTCTTGCACATAAGCAGAAATGTCATCAACGGGGGCATCAACACCCTCTTCACCGCCCTGTACAGGACCGAGTACGTCGTCCAGTGTCTCGTCAACCTCGTCAAGGACCTCGTTGACGTTGTAATCCATCTGCATAAGACCATCAATTGCCTCGAGGCAAGCGCGGACCTGTTCTAGACTTTGGCCAGTCTGCTCCAGGGTGTTGGCGGCTTGGTCTAGCATGACAGAGGAGTTGGCTTTCACATCACCGGGGTGCCCCCCCTGGGCAAGAGTCTTCTCAGCAAGCTCCAGCATGTAGCTGACCGGTTGCAGCATGCCCTTGGCCGGTTCGACGGCCCGGTTGGCTTTCTCCACCATGCTTTCGGCGCGAGCAAGGGCAGCCTCAAGGGCCTTGGCATTGGCATCAAAGAGTTGCTGAACGTCCTGAACCTGACTGCGAGCGGCCTCTAACTGATCTCGAACCGCGTCAGCCATCATGGGGTCTGGAGCACACACGTCGCCAGCATCTATGAGTGCTTGCATGTTGGCCACGCGCTCCTCTTGATCAATGATGCGGCTCTGAGCGTGTTCCAAAGCTTGGAGGACTGTGGAGTTGATGATCTCGGCCGAGACTCGACTGGAATTGATGTTTTCACCAAAGTCGGACAGGCTGGCTTCGTGCTCAGCCAGACCGGTCCTCAAGTTTTCTATCTGACCGGCAATCTCTTTGACGGACTGGGCAATGGCAGCCAATTCTGGACCAAGCTTCACTTTTGGGGCCTCCTCCGTATCGTCGGACACTGACGCCTTGTGACTGCTAGTGCCGGAGCTACTGCGGCGCTGCGCGGCTTTGAACTTGGCCAGAGCTTCGCGGGTATTGGCCAAGCTCAGCGCAATCTGTAGGTCAGGAGAAAGCAAACTCCAGCCACGTGAAACGATGCGTTGGCGATTTTTGACAAGAAAGACAAGGGATAAAGACGGAGAGGGGAGGAAAGGCTTGACGTCGCCAGTGTGGTAGATAAGAACGAACACTCACGCGCTTGTTGATGGCCTTGAGGTTAATGGGCCGACGAGAGTAATGCATGACAAAGTCCAGGATGTGTTCGAAGAACATCAAGCCTAGGCACCAGTAGTTGCGACCGTCCTGCTTACGAAACACGAGGATCAATTTGACCACCTTGTTCCCTGTCTGCAAGTTGACGGTGAAGCAGTGCTTCTTGTTGGGGGTCTCAGTGAGGAAGAAGGCCCCCTCAGGACCCTGAGTCAGAACCTGTGCCGCTTGCTCTTCGGTCCACTTGGGCTTCCACCAAGGCTGGCGTGAAATATCGAGCCGACCGGCTTGCTCTGATTTGGGAATGAGTGTCGGGGTTGGGCCCTGCAGGTGCAAGCGACCAGAAGCACGAAGGAAAAAGCTGAGGGTGGTGCATAACGTTCTGACAGCAGGGCTGAGAGTGCACAAGAAATTGCAAAGTGCTCGATGATGCACCTACCGCAGGAGCAGCTTTGCTGGACTGTTGTGCTCCACCGGCCTGTCCAATTTTACCATCCTGGATCGAAAACAAAAAAAAAAAAAAAAAAAAAAAAAAAAAAAAAAAAAAACATCAGGTGAGGCAGAAGTTGCTGCACGTCAAATTGCCAACAGTCATCAAGGGCAGCGAATTGCGAGATAGAGACGTCTGCTGGTGCCAAAGCGAACCTTGACTGCTTGCAAAGTCTTGAGCCAGATGCTAAAGTCCTTGTCACTGGGCGTTTCAAGATAAAAGCTGCGGTAATTTCCGTCTACCTTGGCAGTGATCTGAAAAGGGGAAAGTGGGAGGCGCGGGACATTATGAGTCTTGAAAGCACGGGACGGGCTGGCTGATTCAGAGCATGGCGATAGAGTTGTGGCGTGTAATGAGAGGATGGCCTGTTGTACCTTGATGGCGTGGTCCCCCACCGGACGCTTTGCCGCCACGGTGCAGGCCTCTTGAGCGATGGGAGCACCGGGTCGGACACCGTCGATGCTGATCACGCCCTTGACAGGGATGGCGCCTGTTTGAACCATGGAGTACGTCGTCAGAGCATGGGTCAAAACATAGGCACTGGTGTGAGGACCAGACAACGCATGGAGGACGGCACACCTTTATACTTTCCACCCACATCGGCAAAGTAGCTGAGCGCACTGGGGGTCAAGACAAAGTATCTGGACGTGGGACACGCAATGAGGGTGTGCTGAGCGAGTGCGGTACTCAAGTGCGCCGCTAAGAAGGGGCGCAATTCAGTCCAACAATTCGCAGGTTTAGCACAACCGTACACACCGTGCTTGCCATTTGCCACTGTGCATGCCAATCTTGGTCATCCAGCCAGCACACAAGGGCTGTCATGGTCCAGTAGCAAGGGGTTCGAATCCCACCAAATCAAGGTCATGAGTCCGTTTGGCAACGACAAAGACGGTCGGGAAGGCCACGGGAGAAGGAGGCTGCATCGCAAGGGCAAACACAGACAACGGGTCGTGGCACGGCGTGACACACACCCGTTCCGGAGGCATTTGGCCAGCCATGCTCCCAGTGAGTGAAGATCTAAGTGGAAGCAGACAAGAACAAGGCAGGGGTGTCAATGGTGTGCAGACCCTTTGTCGAGTTTTCGAAGCGGGGGCGCTTTGTGCGAGCCGTTGCACATGAAGTGAACCCGCACACTGACCTGCAAACGATCGCGGCGACGGAAAGAGCTGGCGTCTGGGCGTCAGTGGCTATTTGACACGTCCAAGGTAACTGCCGATGGTCACAGCCTGGTCCCACAAGAGAACCCGAGTTCTTTTTTCTTCCAGTAACAAGAGCAAGAGCAAGGGCGAGGGCGAGCTTCAGTGCCTGAGCCAGTGTTTGCAAACAAATGCAGCGCTCCGTGAGTGGAAGCGCGCACAGAGAAAGCGAGAGAGCGCGCGAGAGAGAGAGAGCGCACAGAGAGAGCTCCCCGACCTGCAAATGCTTCACTAACCTCAATTATATCGAATAAAACATTGTTCTATACTACAATAACCTGAATATATACCTCAAGTTCTAAGTCTGCTTACATGTTATAATCTACAGTAGCTCATAGTTTTAATTCAAAAACATGAACAACAGATGCAAAGACTCTGGCGTTTAACGCGGAAACAACATCAACAACATGAAGCAAGCGCCATCAGAACTGGATGACGACATCTACAACATCTAAATATTAAACCTCACAAGATACCTCTATGAGAATTAACAAATCTACATAAGCTTGATTATCTACGTAATCAATCGTTCGTTGTGTAAAACAAATGCAATGGCATCAGCAATTGGCAAATTGCCGCCGCTTGGCAGGCGCAGAAGAAACATTAATTTTAAAGAGGCAGACTTGATATTGTAATGTCAGCGTTTTGATGTCTGCGCACGTCGACCAACACACACACACACACACACACGTTTACCTTTACACACACACACACACACACACACACATACACACACACACACACACACATGGCGAGCTGGGAGAGATTGTGGCTGATGGCCGGTAGTGCGGCGGCGGCGGTGGGTCGGTTAGGTGTGAGGCAACAGGCGGGTACGCTTGGGGGCAGATTAGGCGGCTGGACTCGTGTGGCAAGACCCCTGGCGACGCCTGTGCAGCTTTGTCGACCTGCTAGCTCCTTTCGTGTCAACCCAGATCGCCGAGGCGTCGTGAACGCGCAGCAGACCACGTTGGAAGAGCTTCCCACAGATGCAGACACAAGCACGCGGCGGGCACCTATCATTTGGTCCATGGACGATGATGAAGAGGACAACGACATTCCCTTTGCAAGTGATGTCGCTGGACTCGGGTCGGACCGCCACAACATGCAGACTCTGGGCTTGAGCACACAGAACATTGAGTTTGAGAGCATTGAAGACTTGGTTGACTCGGAGGTGGTTCGAGTGGTGCTGGCCGACCCCGACACGAAGACACCCGGTGACTCTGCCGAGGCCGACTCAGCTGGTCAACTGAGTGACCGGGAGCTGACGCGGGAGCTGGAGCGCTTGGAAGAAGGCGAACGCGGGTTGCAGGTTGAAGATGTCGTACGCAGCGCGCTCGACATGAAGGGCGGTCCGTTTACCCTGCACTCGTTTTTTTACATCCACGTGTCCAACGGTGTCTTCTGGTGGTTGTATCCTCGTGCCGTGCTGTGCTTTTGTGCTCCTACATGAGAGTGGGCAAGACCAGACGGGCGGCACGGTACCCACCTCCCTGACCTTGGGCTGCGCCTCACTGCTTGCTCTTGATCGTCACGCGCATGACAATAGATGATATTTTTGTCTTGGAAGTGGGTGGGCGACGACGAGAGGATTATGACTTTTTGGTCATTGTGTCAGCTCGCTCCAAGCGCCACCTGCGTGCCCTGGCACAAGATGCCGCTCTCAGGGTAAGTACTATCGTCCTTCAATTTGGCATCGTCTGTCTTGTGTTGGCCGTCTCACCGTGGTTTGGCCGCGTCCTTCTTTGCTGGCGTGTAGCATCGCGAGGCGGCAGGCTTGGGTAGCAACACGCCGCTTTCTTCTCTGATCATTGGTCACGCCGACGACTACTGGAGCATCGTGGCTACCGGTACGTGCCAAACATTTTGTGGGATGCTTCCTGACAGAAAGGTCTGGCTTGGCTGTCTCGCGTTCTGCCTCGCCCGTTGCCTGATGTTCGTCGCTTCTCCCACTTGATCCAGGCCGCGTCATGTACCACATGATGCTTCCGGAGGCTCGGTCCTACTATCAATTAGAGTCGCTGTGGCAAGGCTTGGAGGATGGCGAGGAGGACATGCCACCCACAAGCCGTACAGGCCCAACTGCCGGCCGGAACTCGACACACCAGCGCCCCTTGTTCATCTAATCCCACTAGTCGACTCGTGCACCATTGCTTGTCCCACCAGCACACTGGCGAGGTGTCCGTGCCAGCGTGCTGGCCATGTCGTCGCTCTCTTGTGGATGCGTTGTTCTGCCGTCGTGTCTTGTTCTTCTCCCGTCATTACAGAACACGAATCCAGTGAGCCAAATTAACACTTTTGCTGACAATGCTTCACATCCCAAACAACTGACAACTGGCAAAAATCCGCCCTCACCAATACAAAAACTCACAAAGTGAAAAGCGCTACCATCTGTTCTTCACAGCTTCCAACACACACACACACACACACACACACACACACACATGGTCTGAGTCACTTTCTCTGTCTCAAGGTTTGTGAACACGTTGTGCCACTGACGGCACCCTGCGCCGACACCGCCTGCCCCGCGGGGTTTGCGGAGGCTCTGCTTAATGCTGAACTCGTGTGTTGGGATTTGGTTGTTGTCCTTCTTTCTTCTTGGCTCGTTTGGTCATGTAGTTCTCACCGCACGGCTTTCGCTTTGTGATATAGAATCGCTGTCGAAGCTACATACGGAAGAGACGTTTCGGCGGTCTCTTCATCAATCTGGCTTTGGGGAAAGTCTCCGGACCCGTGGCAGAGAGTGCCAGCCGTCGTTGGCCCACCTCTGATACCAGCTTGGTCGCAAAGAAGCCGGGCACTTGGACTCGCATCTCAGTGTGACTCACCGCTCAGTTTTGCTTTTCCATTCCTTCCACCATTTCTTTACTTCTTCTTTCGAGGGTTGTAAAGGATGGGGGTTGGATTTGGCTCAGCAAAATGGTGAGGCTCATTGTGGTGTGACCCATTTTCCCGCGCCGAGCGGAGCTGCGTACCAGGATGTTTGTCACCGCAAAGTAATGCGATTGACGGCCAGTCGTGCTCTTCAGCGCCGCTGGCCGTTAACTCAACGGAGCTTACTCTGAGACAGAGAAACTCCCTTTTTTTTCAATACCAAATCATCTTCTCGGCCCGGTTTCAAGGCTTTGTCCTTCAGAGCTTGAGACCGTATGCCGTTGCGTGCAACATCGTTTTTTTTCTCTCTTCTTTCTCCTTCTCTGCTTTTGAGTGCTTGCCCTTGCCTTGATTTGGCCGGTCACTTTCAGTGAATATGCGTCAATTGGTCGGCACAGTAAAAGGGAGAAAACGACAACAACCTGCACTTTGTTTCAAGTCACGAGTAACGTGGCGCTCAGCGCCTTCTTGAAGGGAGTAGAATCACCTATAGCTTGGAGGTTCATTGTAGCCAAAGGCCAGCGTTTGGTATTTGGCGTGCCGGTAGGCATCAAGACCCGATCGCCCCGTGCCCTGGGCCACGCCAAACCCATGCCTCAACTGACCGCTGCCAAACGTGCCCAAACACAATCATGATGTACCCCGTGAGTGCAAGCGGGGAGAGACTCAACGTCTTTGGCTCAGAAACACCAGACACACAAAACAAGTTTAATAATGGTTCCGTCTCCACACTGAATTCTCGTTTCCAATGAGCATGTCGTACCGTGCTGCATTCTCCAACCCAGCCAGTTGGCGACGGCGTGGCTCGCGTGCGTGCTCCCCGGCCGTGTGGGCCCAGCCATCGCGCAACGCAGCGCAGCGTGAGTGCTCGTGCTCCTGGAGCTGGCGTCGACCCTCCTCGGCATGCACGAGGGCTCTGCACCCCGCAGCTCGCGCTTGCAACTCCGTGTATGCGTTTTGCGCCCGAGGCACAGGCAACCGCGTCTGCTCTCGACGATTGGCGCCCGTGTACAAGTAAAACTCGTAGCTAGGCCACACATAAGCGAAGGGTCAGCCAGCCGCACAGACAAAGCTCTGCGATCGATGCCCAGGACAACTAGACCACCTTAGCCGCCGGCATCACCACAAATGACACCAGCAGCAAGAAGACAGACTTACTCATAACGATCAAAGGTTTGGAGTCGCTCACGGGAGCACCGATGTTCCGGGCCGCGGAACACAGCGCGCCGAGTTACCTCGTCTGGGTGTGTGCGCAGGTACCGACATGCCTCACAGGCGCCCAAACGAATGGCCGACGGTGCATGATGCAAGCGTGCGGTCTGAGCCAGGTACAAGCCAGGCTCCACTGCCCGTGACGAACGAGGCGCCGCCATGGCTCTCACCAGCCGGGTGAGCAGAGAAAGCAAACTCTTGACACAAGATTCAAAGATTGAGTTGAAAAAAAAAAATCCTGTAACCGTCAACGAACCGTTACAAACAAAAAATCTGAGTCAAAATTTTGGTTCTCTTCAAATCTTATCGTTGTGCCTCAGTGCTGAAATATAAAAATTGAATTGACGACAAGGCGTCCATCATGCATGCACATGATTGCATGATGCATGGAAAGGCTGCAAAGCAGAATGCAGAGCAGCGACACAACAACAGAGCCTACACCTCAAAGGAACCCTCGCCTAAGCAAACCTTGCGCAGATCCTCCACACCAGGCGCCTGGGTTTCCTTGATGGTCTTTTGAGCCGTTTCCTATCCAAACCGCAAAGACAAGGTCAAATAAATGACGCAGCAAGAGTTGAATGCAGAATCCTTGTTGCAAGCAAGGCGCACCGTCGCTTCCGTTCCCGATGAAGCAATTTGATACAGCCGGTGGCACACGCCCAGCATGTCGGGCGATTGCGTAAAGTCGGTTCCGGTGGTCAGACTGCGTTACATGCACATGAGCGTACAAATCAGAAAAAGAAAAGAAAGCAAGGATAATTAATGGAGTAGACGCTATCAAGCAAAGGGCGCCAGATAGACACGACAAACCGTGTAAAGACGTCGGCCGCAATGGTGGCGCGCAGCTCCGCCTGTGCCAGCTGGCTTTGCATGGCGGCCAAGCCTCCTTCAATCTCCTGCAACACGCCCTGCGTCATGGTCTCGATCGCCTTCAAGTACTTGCTGTTGCCGCCATACAGGTCATCGTTGGCCTCGACTGGTGATAGCACGACCATGGCACATCGACAAAGTAAGATAACGCTGAACGGGCGGCCGACCAGAGTCAGTCGGGCGCGCGCCCACGTAAGAAGAGCGTGACAAACACATACCGCCGGCCGGTTTGTACAACAGTTGGCGCTGCGCATATGCTTGCAAAAGGCTCAAGCTGGCTGCGTATACTTCCAACTTGCATGTGCTTCCCGGTCGCCTACAGGCATTGATTATGAATACTGAGCATCCCACGCTCATAGTTGCAACTCCCACCCCACCCCGTCTCCAAAACTCCCAACCCTGCATCATCCAGGTTGGTTGGTTCTGTGACACGTACCAGTCAATCTCAGCAAGGACCTTTAGTAGGCCCTTGAGCACTGCCAGCGGCTCCAATTCGGGGTTATCTGGCACCATGAGGAGTGCGCTGAGGAGATTCAAGAGCACAGGCGTTAAGAATTCCGAAATATCCGAAAGCTCTCCGTTGCGCTAAAAGCCCGAGGACATCAAGAATCAATGAGGTAAGCTTTGATACAAGAAAAACCAAGTTTGCAAGCGAGGGTGCCGTACTCTGTTTCGGCGTTGGACTACATACCATCACTTCGGGGGGAATGTCGCGCACAAAGTTGACGCAAGTGGTGAAGAATTCATCAGCTTGAGCCAGAGCTTGATTGGTGACAGCAGTAGAGCCAGACAGAACAAAGAGGCGCAGACGCTCAATGGGATCCTTGATGGATGGGACGGTAATGTAGTTGAAGGCAGCGCATGAACGCACAAACTGGCCAGACTTGCGATTGTGGTTACCGGCCACCGCTTGCAGCGTGCGCATCATCAGGTTGTTGACACAGTGGACCAGGACCACCATAACTGCGTCCAAATTGCTAAAAAAAGGTGGGGTAGAGGGGGCCCAGGTTAGCCCGCGTGTAAATGCCGATAGCTCACGCACATGGCGATGAGAGAGTACCTGAAGTTGGATCGTGCATCAACGTAAAACTGGAGCGTCTGCTCAAATTGCTTGCCAAAATCAACGGCGTTCACAAAAGCCACCAGCAGCGCCGTCACATCACGGCGGTCATCTTCCAGTGAGGTTGCCGACAGCGAGTCGTGCAGGATCTACAGCCCCAGCGACGAGTGAGTCCAGTGCAAAGGGCAATGTGGAGATCCACGGCTTGGGCGGCTTGCTCACCTTGGCGAGATACATGATGGCATTGACGGTGACCGTGTTGTTCAGCTTTTGGGACGAGCTCTGACTTGAAAAGGCGCGCAGCACCGACTTGGCAACCTCAACACGCACATCTTCTTTCTGAAACAGGTCCAAAAACGTCATAAAGTTGTCCATGGCAAATATCTCGCTGCCCACCCATCACCAAGCCGGCATCCAAACAGAGTGAGCACCAGCGAGAGGCTCGCTCGTCAATGTAGCAAGCAAACATGACTGACCTGAACGAGGTCTGGTGACCAATGACCTTGATCAACATGGATTGAAGCTGCGGGTACAGATTCTCAAACGCGCGATCTGGCTGGACGTGGGCAATGACGTCGCCGAGCAGAACATTGACTTCACGGGTTCCAAAGTACTTGACAGGATACTCGATCCAAACCTCGGCGCAAGCCATGTAGTCGGCGGGATCCTCCAGACTACGAATGGACTCCCACACCTAGACGAGCGGATAGATCAGGCCAAACGCAACTGGCCGAGCGCATCACACTTTGCAACCTGAAACCACGACCAGCAGTCACACCCACCTGGTTGAGAATGGCACGTCGGATGTTCTCCTCTGGTGGGCAAAACGTCAAAGAAACGCCCAGGGATCGATAGAGATGGTGATGCTTGAGACCAGTGGTTGGTGAGGCCTGAATGCGCTGGATAAATTCCTCCGCCCTGCCGAGCCCGATGGAAAAGAAAGGAAAGATGAGAGCCAGGCGACGCCCCAAAAGGCATGGAACAAAGGCATTGCTGCTCTCCTTGGCCATGTTGATTCGCGTGTGCGGGCGTGCGGGTCTGAGAGTAGCCGAGGCTTTTGTACGTACCCTTGCGCAATCATCTCGGGCGGAAAAGAGGACATGATGGCGTTGAGAACCACAGAGCTGGCCTCCGAATCTGAGCCCGAGGCTAGAACAGAATCAAACACATCGCGGGTCGAGCGGTACGCCACACATTGCAGGATCCAATCCACTGCCGGCACATAGAGATTAAGATACGTGGGGCGATCCAGCATTTGCATCTGGCACAGGTTCTGGTCGGGCACACAAAAGAGAAGATGTGAGCAAAAAGGAGGCGCAAGCCACAGCACGACCCGATCGCTTGTGAGCATCAAGTCCAACAAAGGGTGGGCAAGCGGCCGTAGGGGCAGGGAAGCTCACCTTGACACTGGGCGAGGTAAACTGTTTGAAGCATGAAACGGTGTCGTGAAACATCTCCAGAAGGTAGCCACGAAGCTGAGGCATGAGAGACATGCCCACGCGACACAGGTAGCAGCGGGTGTAGATTGCCACCAAGGGGTCAGCAATGCCACGCGTTTGGCGCGCCAGGCGAATGAGCGTCTCCTCGATGTGATGGAGTCCCATGAAACGGCGGTTGCGCAAGAGCGCGGCCTCCACATAGATACGAGGCAGCAGCTCGCGGATTGAAGCAATTTTGAAGAACCAGTTTTTGCAAATTTCGCGCGAGATGCGTGGCACCTGCAAGTGGTCGAGTCCCGAACCAGTACAGGAGTTTTATGAGCCAAAGCCGACAAGAGGAAACCGGCCACAAAAGGAAAAAACCTTCACAAAAAAAAAAAAAAAAAAGACGGTCGTGCTGCAGGGAACAATGGGGACCAACCATGTCAGGGGTAAAGCCGGGCTGGAGCCGAGTACCACGGGAGCACTGCTCGGCCTTGACCAGGAGACGATCAAAGACCAAGTTGCCAAAGGTGTCCAAAATGTCCGTAATCAGCACAAACTGGCTGGGATAGAACTTGGCCACGGACACATCCGAAAGCATCTTGGCACACTGTGCAGCCGCATGAAGAGGGGTCATTGAGCGATGTGGCTATGCTTACACAAGCCAAGACGCAGCTTGTCACGCACCTGAATCACAATCTTGAGAGAGCGCACGCGCAGCTCGTTGGCCCAGGCGTTTTTGAGCTCCGTCTTGAGTTGATCGATGCGATTGATGTAGTCTTGCTGGGACAGGTCCTGCATGCGCTGAGGTGAGCTGTTATCATCGTCTTCCAGCTCATCCAGACGGCTTTGCATCTGTCGGAAAAAAGATGATCGGGATGATCGGGATGATCGGGATGACACAGAATGCAGAGGGTTAGAACCAGGTGACGCGCTGGTCGGTTTCGACGGGAACATGAGTGGGACGCTCCAATCTTCACGCAGTCGAGCGCACCGAGTTTTCTGGCAAGTCCTTGCGCGTGATGGTGGTACCGGGCCCGAGGAACGAGCTGACGATGGACAACTTTTCATTGGTTGTGTAGCGGCTCAGGATGCTTGGCTTGCGAGCCTAAAAGACGTTAGGGCAAAAAGTCACAATGAGGGTGGTGTAAGGCAGTGGGGCGCGGATGCACCCACTAGCACACGCTGACGACACACGCACCTCCCAAGGCTCAAAGGTATCATCAAGCTGGGCTTCATGGGTTTCGTGCAGGTTGAGCTGACGCTCCACAGCTGCAGCCAGATCGTCATCACCGTCGTGCTCGCGTTGACCTGAAGGGAGGTCGAAGGCCCAAACCAACCCAGACACAGGTATTCCAAGTGAGTTGGACATGGGCATCTTCACGCCACCCGGCGTTGTTGCATGCAGAAGGGGTCAAGACGACGAACCAGCGGTCAAAGGGTCCACAAAGCTTTGCTCTGCTGGGCTAGACAAGGGATCGCTCACGGTGGAGCCTGTTGCGTGACATCGCCAGTTGTATGGTGATCAAATGCGTGCCCCATGTGAGTTGAGGAAGATATTGAGACGAGCGAGGAGAGGCGGATCGTTGCGGCGATGGAGGCGGCACATGAGAAGCAGGTTGCAACACAGGGACGCACTCGGAGCGCTTTCTGAATTCTTTTTGCCGGCAGCAGGCGCGGCTGATTTCACGAGCTATCCATCAGCCAAAGCAAGACAAGCGATGATGACATGAGGGTAAAGTTGTCGCCAGTCACTTGCTCCTTCTTGTGTGAGTTACCCAAAAAAAAAAAAAATAATAATACGAACCAGAGGGTGTTCCGCAGTGGCAGTGGCCTCCAGGGACTGCTGCGCGTAGAGCAGTCGATACTGCTTGTCGGCGCTACAAGAGCAGCAAGGTTACATGGAGATCACAGCGTCAGAGGAGGTCGTTGGTCAAGGGATGGTGAGCTCTGCTCGGTCGCACAAGGTGGTCGAAGGGTCGATGGCATTGGGACCTACCTCACAAACGTGGACATGGCGCCAGTGACGAGAAAGGCGCCCGCAAATACCACTAGCTCTCTTCGCAAACTGCCTTCCGTGACGCACTGAACCAGTGGCTCTGGACAGGGCTTGATCCTGCCGTATCAGATCCGGGCTGCCCTCACACACACACACACACACTCTCTCTCTCTCTCTCTCTCTCCAGTTTTCCTCTTTTGTCTACAGAAAACTATGAGTCTCCAAAGAGACTCGAGCAGACTCAAGCAGACTAATTTTTTTCGATGCCTGACCCCCTGACTCGAAATTTGGTTTTGTAGCGGTTTGTTCCCCATCCCCCTTGAGCCTGGCTTATGAAGGCCGGTTTTTAAGGGAGCACAAAGAACAAGGGACTGATGGACAAAGAACAAGGGACGGATGGATGGCTTTCAGGTGTGGTAGCAAAGAGCGAGCATTGTGCCAACAAGTCAGCGTAAAATGTTCATCAACTCGGAAATCTTCCAACATTCAAGACCTGGCGTGGCAATGCACGTGTGATCATTGGGGCAAAATCATTTTACATGATGTTCAAGGCTCTAAACTCGGGGCGGCGATTCGTCTGGGAAGATCCACTTTTGCCGGGCATCGTTCTCGTCACAGTCAGCAAAGGCCAGTTTGGGGGTCTCGTCCACACGCAAGCACCGGCCATTGTGCTTGTTCTGCACCAGCCCAGCCGGAGTAAACTCAAACTTGGCATCACGGCTGGCCTCGCACCAGGTGATGGTGAGTCGGGAGGTGAGGCAGAGCTCAAGGTTGGCCACAGGGCGAATCTCGTGGGTCTTGGACAGCGTGAGGAAGCGCTGAGAACCTTGACCGTGGCATCCGTACACCCCCACGGGCGAGTCGGCCCAAGACTTTTGCAGCGTGTCCAGGCACTGATTGCTGGCCGGATTCTTGATCATGCCCAAGGCCTTGATGTCCGCACGATCGGTAATGATGCTTTCTGGGTACACGTTCTTGAGGTACCAGTCAAAGTTTTTGCACTGCAGGCGATCACGAAGCTCCAACATGTCGCTGATGTCCCCCATCTGCTCGAGTTGCTCGGGCTTGATACCCAACGCTTCGTGAACAATAAAGGCGTAGTCGTCCATCCAGACGGCCGCGGTTCGTAGTTTGTTCTTGGCCACGTGCCCCTGTGGCAGGGAATAGGCGTGCCCACCCTTGCGGAAGATGTGGTGGATGCGACTGCAAGGCATGCACTCCAAGAAACCCCCGCATTGCCAGAGACGGAACGAGAGCTCGAGGTTTTCTGTGCCCCAGAAGCCAAACTGATCATCGTAGCCGCCAAGCTCCAAAAAGTAGTCGCGATTGGCCGTGAAGAGGCCACCTGCCATGGTAGGGGAGCGCACGGCGTCGATGGGCGAGTTGCGCAGAGCCTGGTCCTTTGGCTGAATTGGGATGGCGTGCTCAATCAGGTTCCACAAGAAGCCCAGCGAGCAGCCAATGCCACCCACCAGGGGCTCAAAGGTTTCCTGATCAACACCGTCAATCTGAGGCATGAGCATGCGACGGCGATCGCCCTTGATGCGCGCCATGAGGGGTTCACACCATCCCTCCTCGACCTCAATGTGACTGTCCAGGACAGTAAAAGTTTCAGCGGTGGCCGCGCGGATGCCGGCCAGACGCGCCTTGACAAGGCCCAGTCGTTGGCCGTTGCGGATGAGTCGGACCTTGGGCAGCAGCTTGATGTAGTCTTCCAGCGGTTTCTGAAGCCAGGGCTTGCTGCTGCCGTCGTCCACCAGGATGATCTCGCGCAGGAGTTGGGGCGGGGTGCGATTTAGAACGCTGTGTACGGAACGCATGAGAACGGTCAGCCACTCGTCGTAAAAGACAAAGACCACTGACGTCTCTGGAAGCGTGTCGAGGTCGTATTGTACCCTTGCACAGAGCTTGTGGCGAGCATCAGTAATGTTGCGATCCAGGGGCAGACAGTCACTGAGGCGGCCAAAGAAGCCGTTGTTGGACAGCTCCTGGGCCATGTTGTAGTTGGTCGGGCACGGTTTGGGCGGCAAACCCGGAGTGCCATCGGGCTTGAGGCCCAAAATGCCGTGCATGCGCCAGTGGGCTTGACCGGGGTATTGAGAGCGGTCACGCCCCGGATCAAGGGCACGCTTGCGGTCTTCTGGGCTGAGATCCTGCGCGATCCGGGCCTCGAGGCCCTCGGGCTCGCTATTCATGTCCAACAGCACCTTGCCCGCAAAGCCCAACACGACCAGAACCACGAGAGCGCGCACGACGCGGCGCATGCTGATCCGGCCCATCGCCATGGCCGCCGAGTGCCGCGCAACAACAAAATCGCCCTCGTCCTGTTCTGCCTACAAACCACCGGTGACGGGTCAATGCAAGGACCCCCCGGAAAGAATTGCACTGGAACCTCCTTGCCTGCGTTCTGCCCTTGGCCTCTGCAGTGGTCGAGCAAGTGAAAGCCACACCGGTCGGGCAGGCCGCACACCACCGCCGCAACAAGAGCTTGCAATTTGCTCCTTTTGCGCGCTTTTGTGGTCAGAAAAGTGCCTCGTGGACAGTGTAGCCAGCAGAGAGGATCACCATGGTTGTGGTATTGATCAGAGAGTAAGGTCAACGTCTAAATCATCGCAACGAAGAAATCAAGGCAGATGCAGAGAAGCATAGTAGTCAGTGCACTCCCGTCAGAGAATCCTTTTTGTCTGCGTCACAACGAAGAGAGATTCAAAGGAATGTCAACCTTCAGCCTCCCGTGATTCTTGCGCTGATGTAGAACAGATGTTGTGCACCGTTAAATGGTACAAGCTTCAGCATCAACCGTTATAAAATCTCTCTCTCTCTCTCTCTCTCTCTCGCTCTCTCTCTCTCTCGCTCTCTCTCATTATTCGGTGTCCTCCCTCTGCTGCTGCTGCTGCTGCTGCTGCTGCTGCTGCTGCTGCTGCTGCTGCCGCCGTGTGAAGAACAGATCATCTGCAGGACGCCGATATTTTCTACTCTCCCTGCCTCCTCGTATCCTTGAACAACACTTGTTTCTGTTTTTTTTTTTTTTAAGCCCATATTGTTCTTTCTGTGAGACTGGTGCAGAAGTTGTGTGCGCGGTGCGCACTCTGCCCAGCTACACTGGTGATCGCTGGATGTACCAGTAGCTCAGAGAAAAGGCAGCATGGCAAACTCGCAAAGGTCTACGGCCGCACAGGGCGAAGAGTCGGACCTTGATCGCGTTTTGCAGGCAAACAGCCCAAGCACGGTGCGGCGTTCTTTGACATTCACAAGTCTTCAGGAGCCCGAGCCAAGTGACGATCCAGTCGAGACCGACTCGATTGACCTGCGCCTCAGTACTCTTGAGACGCTCCGTGACAAGCTGCGCCGCATCAATATGGCCGCACGCAGCCTCGCAGCCTCACAGAATTCCGCAACTCAGGACACGCCGTCTGATCCCGAACCGAGCCACGTTCGAGCTGAAGCCAGCGGCGCGCAGAATGCTGATGTCACCCGCCAAGCCGCGTTGGCCAATAGCACACCACCTCGTCGCCCTCGGGCCACAGATCCGAGCCCCATGGCCAAGTCCCTCGCCGGATTGCAGTCGGCACACGCTCGTCAGGACGCTGACTTTGACGCTCAGCTGCGGCGACATCAACAACAACTGGCACAGCTGCACAGCAATGCCAGCGATAACATGCGTCACTCCCTTGACACCATGCTACGCTCCAGTCAGAATTACCCCTTGCAAAGCACCATGATTAGCGCGGACGTCTCCAATGGAGAGCCAGCCACCCATACTTCACGCCATGCTCCTGTTAGCCGTCATTCAGAGACCAAGCCCGAGCTAGTCCCTACCACTGGGTCCAGCGCACCTGGTCAGCCCACGCACGCGCCCAGCTTGCCGGCTGGTCGCCAACTGGTGTCTGGCCCACGTGATTGGTCTGCCGTTCACGCATCAGCAAGCGACCTTGACACCGAAGAGCACCACCATTCAGACTCGAACGCGCCTCGCGATATGGACTTGGACACCGACTCTGAACCAGAGTCAAATGCCAACCAGGTAGAGGTGCGCGTCGAGGCCAGACAGGCCAACGCGGCCCGGTCCGATTCTGAGCCAGACAAAAGCTCTGAAGCAACCGCCCAGCGAGTGTCCGCGCATCCCTCCGCACCGGCCCCTCTGAAACCTGCTCAAGCACCAACAATCAACTTGAACGGGTCGGATGCAAGCCCACCCACTGCCCCGACGCACCACAGCCCCCTGCGTACAGCCACGCGTGTAGAGTTTACCTCGGCCACCGTGAACACCCAGCCCCAAGCTGAGCCTAGTCGTGAGGTTGGTGATCGTGTTGCTCCTGAATGGTGGTAGCACGCAGGCTTCGTGCTTTGCCCACTGTTCAGGTCCTAACCCTCCATGTCCGCACCTGGTAGGCTACCCAGGTATGGCAGCTGCAAACCGAGGTTCTTCATTTGCGCACAGAGCTGGCAACCTTGCGGCACAAGCGTCAGATGGATTTGCTCGATGAAGAAGACGACTACCGTGCTTCGCAAACCGTATGTCTGTTTTGGCTGCTGTGTTTGTTTGTTTGCTTGTTTGCTTGTTTGTTTGTTTTTTACCAACAAGCTAGTCATGTGTTATTGTTGCACTCTCAAATATATGGCTCTCGGCTTGCTGCTTTTGATGAGTCTGCATCGTACAAATGCCGCCTTGGCCTCATCTGCGCGGTGCATCAGGGCACGGAATCACTCAAAGCGCTGCATAACCAAACACTTCAGCAATTGGAAGAAGCCGAGGAACAGAGCACCATTCTCCAGCGTACCCTTGAAGGTACATGCCGCACGCCCGCGATTGATGCGTTGGGTTTCCACCTACCTTTGCCAGCCCTCATTAACCATGACCGGGCCTACCCAGGTGAACGATCAGCTCGCTTGGAGGCCGAGGCCCTGCTAGATGAGCTCATTGCCCACCAGGAAGCCAAGGATCGCGTTCTGGCAGCTTTGGTGCACGAGCATGAAGACCTTTCGGTTGGTCCTGACGAACCCAGCTGCCTGCCTGACTCATCTCTCCCAAGTTTTATCAAGCTCCACAACTAACCCCTTGGTGCCAACTGGACGATTTCTTTGACAGCGCCAGCTTCATGAGTCGCAAATATCCCACGCCTCTCAGCCGGCAGCACCGGCCCCTCAAGCGTCTGCGCCAGCAGATGCTTCACCGTCGGACCGCGTGCCTCTGGAGCACCTGCAAGCAGCCCATGCTCGAATTGAGCAGCTCGAGGCCAGCCTACGCCTATTAAACCGTGACAAGGAAGCGTACGTGGCCCCTCACGTTCATGCTTGCTTGGGTGTTTGATAGAGTTGTTTCGTTCTTTATTTCTATGTTTTTGTGTTTGTTTTGACCATTCTTATCCTGGAAGGAGGGNGGGGGGGGGGTCGGGGTTGTTGGTTTGTGACGCGCTCACACGGATTTGCATTGTCGCCTGTGCACAAGCAGTGCTGAGCAGGGTGCATCGGATGCTCGCAAATCGTTGGCTGACGTTGAACACGCGTTGGATCTGCTGCGGCGTGAACATGACGAAGTCAAGGTCCAATTGCAAGATGCTGTGGCCGAGGTGCAGGACCTTCGTCATCAGGAAGCATCGCAACAGCGAGAGTTGAACAAGGCCTATGAACAACTTCGAGTACGTGCCACTGCGAGGACACATGTCGCATGCTGAACTTCCACTGTTCAAACAAACTCACCGGGGGTGGTTGCATGCCTGTAGTTGGAACTGTTACAGTTGAATGCGGATCACAAACGCTTGCAGACTGAGAATCAACACCTCAAGCGACAGCTTGAGCGCATGCCGTACGTTCGCCCGCGTCCAACTCAAACCACCATGTGTCTTCTTTCTCAAGCTGTTGAATGCCCACCAACTGGTTTCCTTGGGTTAGAATGCAAGTGCCGACCAGTTTGGCGGCAAGTCACAATGCCAACGCCAACACGAATGGCAGCACGCGCGCTGCCACTGCACCTCGTATGTGAACCCGCAAGTGTCGCAGCCCACATGTGCCATGTGGACGTGGCCTCATCTCTGCCGGTGTTCTCGGTTGTGCCGTGTCGTCTTTAGCCCGCGCTTCGCAGTTGCCTGTGCGTGTGGCGACCACACCCGGGCGCGCCACGAGTGCCACGCACCATGGTCCAACCCATCCCAGCACACGGGATACGACCCTTGGTTTGGCGGCCGAAGAAGAGGGAGAGGGGGATGATTTGCACATGTCGTCGTCGCGAACCTATCGGGCGTCCGATCGTTATCGAGATGAACTCAACGCAAGCCTGGTGGCGGCAGAGACGAGTCGTCTGCAACAAGAACGCGAACAAGCGCACCAGCGGCAACAGTACTTGCAGCAGCAACAACAGCACTACCTGCAGCAACAACGCCAATTGCAGGCCCAACAACAACAAGCCCTGCTTGCGCAGCAATCCCATCACCCCCCGCACGTCCCAAATGGCGCCGAACCATATCATGTGCTGCATCATGAGGAGTTGGTGCCACAGCGAGGGCCGATTAGCGGACCAGATACGACACAGGACGAGCCCGATCTAATGTATACCTCAGCCTTGAGCAGTGGCTCCACCATGCATGCCCATCACGCCAACGAAGAGTGCGACTTTAACATTTTTACGGGCGAGCCCCGCACCCAAGGTAAGGCCCGCCGTCCAACCCGCAGGGAGCTCGAGTCCTTTTGTCAGTCAACCTACTCGCATACCGACTCAAGCGCCCCACTGCATGACTCACTCGGTCATGTTGGTAGCGAACATGTCCTTCACCGACAAGAAGCGAAACCGCCTGGACCCACAGACGCGCATGGCCTGGGCTGATGAAACGTCTATGCGGCCCGCTAACACCATGACTCCGGGCCGCAACTCGGCCTATGACTCGGAAGGGTACGTTGCAGGCTCGGCGGCTTAGTCGTTCTGTGTCTGGGGCGGCGTCACGGACTCATGCTTGGATGCTTTTGCTGGCCCAGGTTTGTGAACAACGTACTGACGCCGAATGGAGGCCGACGCCGACAACTGCAGCAAATGAGCGATGCGCTAGACGAGGCGCGCCGCGCGCGTGCCTACATCAACCATCGTGCTTGAAACCGTGTTGCATTGGGGGCTGGGCCCTGAGCGTTGCTGTCCGTGTCTGTTGAAGTTGATTGCTATTTATTCCAACCCACCAAATTGTTCGTGTGCATCGCAATGCGCAAACTTGGATCACGTCGAGCTGTAAAAAGTTAATGGGTAAAATGGTGAGGAGCACTAGCTCGCTTGACAACCGAAAGGCTGGGAACATGGCCTGTGTAAGGCGCGAATGCCGAAACACCAGGACCTTGCAATATCGCACACAGCAGTACAGAAGAACAGGGACCATGTGTTGCGACAGTCAAGACTGTCACACCCCACGGTCCAAGCCTGTCAGATGTTGTGCACGTGGAAGTCTCGAGTCTCGGACAGAGAGCGTGTCAGATCGTCCACGCATAATGTGTCCAAGAGGAAGCTCTTGAGGAATTCGGCTCCACCGAAAGTAAAATCTAGCGTCAAAGATATCGCGATTGTTTACGTCATGTGTGATAGCATCGTCACATTGGGTGGGAAAAATGGGAATGAGAGGCAGGAGGAAATGCCAAACTGTTGGCTACATCTCCGCAATACAACTTTGTCGAAGAGTCGTCTCGTTTTGGGATCGCATCTCAAACTGTCGACGAAGATTGGTTATTCCCAGGCGTTGGCCATGCGAACGCGAACGCGAGCGGCTACGGGCTGCAAGTTGCTTCAGGCTGCGAGCCTTCCTGCGCCTGTTGAGCTAGCACTCATCACCAAATCGACGGAGTTAAAAATCCTCTATATAATGCATTGCTTCGTAAAATGTACAAAAAAATTGTTCAAAACCCCACACCCTACCTCGGCGGACTCGATTGCTCCTATGGAAGAAGATCGACAAGGGAGCCTCCTTCCATAAGACCATGTTGGGAGGAAAAAAAAAACACGGGGAAAAAAAATGGCAGAAGAGCCAGGGACGAGGGGAGCAGGCGGGCCCCAGGCGAGACCGTCGAAGCGAACCCCCCATGGTTGCAGAGGCGCTTGGGGGACTTGGCATGCGACCATAGCGGATTCGGCTCGAATGCATCCCTGCGGACAACCCCCCTCCCCGTCACCGACTCTTCCACCAAGTTGATGAGTCGCATATTATTACATATAAACCAACTGCTAATGATCGCGATCGCCACCACACTCCTCCAAAAAATCCCACATTTTCACTGACTGAACATTGAACACTGAGACTCGTGTCCCCGCCCCCCCCCCCCCCCCCCCAAAAAAATTTAGGGGAAAAAAAAAAGGGGGGCGCACAAAAAGA